TACTGCATTTCAGACTCTTTTGTTGACCATGATGGCTACTCCATTTCTTCTAAGGGATTCCTGCCCACAGGAGTAGATATAATGGTCATCTGAGTTAAATTCACCCATTCCAGTCCATTTTAGTTTGCTGATTCCTAGAATGTCGACGTTCACTCTTGCCATCTCCTGTTTGACCACTTCCTCTCCCTAGGACACTCCAAATACAGGAGTGTCTCTTTTCACTATCAGAGTTTAGCTCAAAAGAGAATGGAAAGGGGTTTTATATCCTTTGTATGTTTATATTTACTGCAACTTTTTTTCTGTCCTTCATGGTGCTTACTTGCCTAAATGGTTCCACAATGTTTTCCTAACACATTTAGCTTTTCAGTAATGTTACTACTAGTTATTTGATCACTGCCTGCGGCAACTATTCTAAAATCAAAGACTATTTTAAAGATACATACAGGACAAAATGATGTACTTCTTAAAACTGATGTAGACACCAAAACAATTTGCCTGGTTTCAAAAAATTTTATGTACTTTTGAGCAAACTCAGTTATAGGACGCAAGCTTGTGAAGCTAGAAAGATAGGAGAAGGGCATTATTGTAAAAGACAAAATGAATCACTGCACAGTTCCTTAAAATAATTGACTTCCCTGAACATAATGATTAATTGATACTCTAAAAATTAAAACTCTTTACCAAATTTTGTCTTTTTCCTGGAGCACGTCTGTTATGCATAACAGAAATATTCATTTTCTCTTCTTAAAAAATGACTAAAGACATTCCTACATGATATCTTTCCATTGTAAATTGGGGTGTTTTTTTTTGTTTTCTTTTCATTTAAGCACAAACTTTTGTGTCCAAAGATAAGCTATACAAACTACATATATGAGATGAGGGCATAATAACTAATAAAATTAACTAAAATAAATTACTTGAGGGTGGTCCAGTGACCAAGATTCTGCACTGCTACATCAGGAGGTCTGGGTTCGATCCCTGGTCAGGGAACTAGATCCCATATGCTACAACTAAGAGTTCTCATGCTGCAACTAAAAGACCACACATTCTGCAACAAAGATTGAAGACCTGTGTGTGGCAACTGAGACCTGCTACAGCCGAACAAATAAATAAATATTTAAAGATGATTATAAAATAATGGGATTCTCCAGGCAAGAATACTTGAGTGGGTTGTCATTTCCTCCACCAGGGGATCTTCCCAACCCAGGGATCAAACCTGCATCTCTTTGATCTTCTGCATTGGCAGACAGTGTCTTTGCCACTAATGCCACCTGGGAAGCCCATTAGATATGTACAAAAGCCAAATAGTAATCAGGGTTAAAGAAGGTATTGGGTGAAATCCATAAATCACATGGCTTCAGCTTTTACTTTTTTACTCTTTAAGACTTTAAAAGTAAAGTCAGTGAACTTGCATTCACGAGTAGTGTTACTTCACTGTATTTCTTCTGATAGTGTGTTTCTCAGTTAACAAAATGTATTTATTTGCCCTTTTTTGACTTCCTATTTGTGACACCTTCTATACTACATCTTTTACATTGTTACTTCTGTACAGGCATATGTTGGACATACTGCAAGTTCAGGTCTAGACCAGCACAACAAAACAAATAGTGCAAAAAATGAGTCACAGAAATTTTTTGAGTCACCAAAAATTTATGTTTACAAAAATTTATAAAAATTATGTTTACACTATACTATAGTTTATTAGGTGTGCAATCGTATTATATATAAACAAATAATGGGCATACCTTCATCCTAAAATACTTTAGTGCTAAAAAATACTAGCCATCATCTGAACCTTCAAGTTGTCATAGTAGTAGCATCAAAGATCATTCATCATGGATCACATCACAAATACACTAGTCATGGAAAAGGGTGAAATATTGTGAGAATTCCCACTGTGACTCAGAAGCACGAAGTGCGCAAACGGTATTGGGAAAATGGCACCAGTGGACTCCCTCAGCTCAGGCCTGTTGCCACATAACTTCAATTTAAAAACAAAAAGAAAAAAATGCAGTTATCTGCAAAGCTCAATAAAGTAAAGCACGATATGCCTCTCCTCCTATGAAGAATAATTTTTATGATCATTTGATTGATGAAACATGGAAGTTCCAGAGAGATTAAATGGGGTAGGTAGCATACAGACAAGATGTAATAGCTATGACTGGTGTCCAGGTCTGTCATAATTCAAAAGGCTCATGTGTTTTCCACAGAACCGTACTACCTCCTTATATGATGTCTAATGTATTGGGGATAAGATTTTGATAAGAAGAGCATGAGATTTACCAATATATCGTTGCACATAGGAAATGAATCTAACATGGATAAGGCAAAGAAATCTGTAACCAACAGTGAGATTGTTTCTATTTCAAAAAAAATCACTATGCTGGAGATGAAGGAATTAAATGAAAGGCAGCGGGCTGAACATTCTCAAAAAATGTACGAACATGTGAAGACTTCACTACAGCAAATGGAAGAACGCAATTTTGAATTGGAAACCAAATTTGCTGAGGTTTGATATTATAATTTTTATCATACAGTTAGAGAGTAAAGAATTATTCATGGTAGCCATTGTATTATTGGAAGAAGTTTGTAACTCTGAAGCAGCATATTAATATGGTGCTTGTGTTTCATGTAATGGATAAATAATGTAGTTTTATATCTGAAATGTTTAAAAAGAAACCATGTATTCCTGTGATTGAGTTCTTATTTCTTACCAGCATTACAAAATTTAGATTTAATGTGCAAAACGATGTTATTTGCTTAATAATGGAATTTCCTTCCATTGTCATCCATTCATTTAGCAGTTATTGTTTCTGAGTGCCTGTAACATTCCAGATACTGTGTGGGTGCTGGAGTTACAGCACAAGTAAGAAAGACAGTTACCTCTCCTCTCAGGGACTTCATTCTAATAGAAAGTTTTAGACTTTTTTGATATGGTCAAAATTTTTAAATTGTTTGGCAATAATATAGTTTGCAAATATTCATCAATTTACAATGAAGCAGCACTCTTCCTTGAGAATTAGTAAATTTCTCAGGTCATTCATGTTATTTTGTTTGTTTTAACTGAGTCATTAGTAATATATTAAAATTTTACTAATATTAACTAGATTTATTTGTAGATGATATAATTGAAGTAATATATAACAAGCATTTAAAGTGAATTAAGGGTATCATAGATTCATATCTTATTAGATTATGAGTTGACCAATATAAATGACTTGGTGGGTTGACATATAACTAGAGTTTTCCTAATTTGTTCCTGGCTTTTTCTCTCCTTATCATCTTCAATCTATTCTTAATACTTGACACCCAAATTAGTATCTGGAGTAAAATAAAGAAGACTGTAGGATGCTTAAAGTTATATTAAAAGGAAAACTTCACCAAAAACTAGTATTTCTGAACATGTTTTGTTATTTTCCCAGCTTACCAGAATCAATTTGGAGGCACAGAAAGTGGAACAGATGTTAAGAGATGAATTAGCTGACAGTGTGAGCAAGACAGTAAGTGATGCTGACAGGCAACACATTCTAGAATTAGAGAAGAGTGAAATGGAACTAAAGGTTGAAGTATCAAAGTAAGTGCATGTGCAAGTTTTAGTCATTTGATGAGCTGTGTCCATGTTAGTCTTTTGGTTAGCTGTATCCACTGCACTTTGTGAAACCTCGTTGCGGTGGTACAGGGAAGTATCCTTAGTGGCAGTTGATGCGGTTTCTTTTTGTAAGAACTCTGTTAAGTAATGTTAACAAGGTTGATATTTAACTGGCATACATAGTAATGTTGGAGAGGAAATAACTTCTCAAGATTTACATTTATCAGAGTCCAGTATTACAGAAAACACAGAACTTGGCATCAGGACCCTATGAGATCTATTTTTTTTTCACATAGTATTTTTTTGGAAGGAAGGGTTGTGGCATTTGTTTAAACTTACTAAGAGTAATAGTATATCTACTTACAGTGGGGTTGCTGTAAACATATAAAGAACAATTCAGATTTGATTCAGTTTGCATATCTTGGGTATCTGCTGTGTACCGTGTGTGGGCTCATTTGTTGTCATGTCTGGAACTCTTTGTGACCCCATGAGCTGTCGCCCACCAGGCTCCTCTGTCCATGGAATTCTCCCTTCAAGAATACTGGAGTGGGTTGCCATTTCCTTCTCTAGGGAATCTTCCCATCCCAGGGCTCTCACCTGCATCTCCTACACTGGCAGGTGGATGAGCACCTGGGAAGCTACCCACTATGTGCTGTGCTTTGTATTAAATATATATTGAATCATCCTAATCCACTTAATAATCCAGATAACATTTGTTGTTTTCATTTTACATAAAGAAACAGTTTATTCTCTTAGAATTCAAAATATATGTAGGAGGAAGTACTATACATCAGGTAGTGCTTGTATTCATTTGTTTTAATCATGTGTTAACTGCTTTAGAGTGGTGTGAGGATCCTTGAGTTGATTCCTCAATCTCAGATAATTAGTAAAAAGAGTTATGGCTTACCCATAAAGTTATAGCCACTGTTTTGGAACCTGGTTTTGGTAATATCACTCATTTTCAGCCCTTTCACTATAAAGGACTCTTTTATTCTTCTTATGTCATGGACCTCACCTTTTTTAGTAAACTAAGTTATAATTAATCATTTTGTATTTTAATTGATTAAGACTTATATAACTGGCAGTGAGAGTTTCTAATCAATATGAGGAAACCAGACTTATCAGTTACACTGGACTAAAATTTCTCCAGTCCAAAGTAAAATGCATTTTACTTTACCTATTTAATCTTACCACAGTAGTCATATAGGACATTTAATAATTATCATCAAGCTCCCCTCCTTTTTTGGTAATTGTAATAAATGTATAATCATTTTCACATTTCTGCTAACTTATAAATTAAAGCCAATCAAAGAATTCATTAATTGACCTTGAAATTTTAAATTTCTGTAACCTTAACTGTACAATTTGTCAAATAAGCCTACCTAATACCTTATTCCAGCTATACCAAACCATGGTAACAAGCGTCTCATGAAAAAAATTGTGAGAGGAGTTTGCTGATCATTTATGTTTGGAAAATTTATATGTACAGATTGAGATCCTTTTTTACTTTAGAACTTCTCAGAGCATTTGATGTGATACTTTGTATATGAATTTTCAAGGGAGAGGAATGTTGGGAATGCAGAGGTTAAAACTTGCTAACCTCTCATGGAATTATGTTTCATGAAATACTTCAGGAAACTTTACTATTTCATTAAAAGAAGAGAAGCTGCAGGCTAACAACTTTTCTACAAGGGTCTAGAAATTGGAAATTCTAGTATTTATTTACTTAGAGTATATACCTAATCATATCTGAAGTATCTTATTACTTCCTAGACTAAAAGAGATTTCTGATATTGCCAAAAGGCAAGTTGAAATTTTGAATGCACAGCAACAGTCCAGGGAGAAGGAAGTAGAGTCCATCAGAACACAGCTGTTAGACTATCAGGTATGTGCAGTATTAACTCTTCGACACAGAGTCTTTTCTTTTCCAAAATTTACATTAGATATTGGATCATTTTGTATTTTTAATCAGGATATATGAAATAGAGGCTCCTGTTCCTTAATTGTAACTTGATTAGAAAAACTTTAATTTGAAATGCCATTGATAACACAGAAAAGCATTTAAATGCTTACAGATGCATTGTGCCAACTACTGATCACAGTTCAGACAACGGGGAGAAATATGTCTTTCATAACAGTATTGTTTCTTATATCTATGTACAGTTTTTCACATATTCTCACATTATAGTTTTTTTAGGATTAAAAAAATTCCCCATTGTCTACATTAGTAGTATTATCAATATTGTTATTTACATATGGAAGTATAAAAAAAGCTTTGTAATATTCCAACTGGTATGTAGTTAGGCGCCAGATTTAGATTTTAAATAAGTTGCATTCTAGTTCTTTTTCTTCTTCACTCTTTTGCAAATTATGTTAAAGCAAGGTTAGATTTTTGTTGGATCTCATATAGCATATTGTTTTCAATTAGTAAATTCTGATTTTTAAATCCTTGGTAAGTTTTACTGGGAAAACTTGAAACTTACGACAAATATTTATTTTTGTATTAGGCACAGTCTGACGAAAAGGCGCTCATTGCCAAGCTGCACCAACACGTAGTCTCTCTCCAAGCTGGTGAGGCTGCTGCCCTCGGTAAGCTGGAGTCACTGACAGCTAAACTGCGGAAGGTGGAGGCCCAAAATTTGCGCTTAGAGCAGAAGCTTGATGAAAAAGAACAAGCTCTCTTTTATGCCCGTTTGGAGGGGAGAAACAGAGCAAAACATCTGCGCCAAACAATTCAGTCTCTACGACGCCAGTTTAGTGGAGCTTTACCTTTGGCACAACAGGAAAAGTTCTCTAAGACAATGATTCAGTTACAAAATGACAAACTTAGGATAATGGAAGAAATGAAAAATTCTCAACAAGAGCATAGAAGTCTGAAGAACAAAACACTAGAGATGGAATTAAAGTTAAAGGGACTGGAGGATTTAATAAGCACTTTAAAGGATGCCAGGGGAGCCCAAAAGGTAAAACACTGATTTTAAGTTCAGTATTTTTGAAAGAGTTACATAATAATTTTGAGTTAATATGTGCCTATGTGGAAAATGCTTAGTATATGAGCAAAATTCCAGATATAATTTATTAATTTAGATTTTATAAATTAGGAGTTTGGGCTATTAGAATATCTGTTTATAAATAAAATGAGATTCCTTTAAGCCATAGTTTCAGTGGAAATGCTTAGATTGTAATATCAAAGAATTTTAAACACTCTAGGAAAGTATATATTAATTAAATATTAATTGTAATTATTCTTAAACATTATAGTGATTAAACAAGTAGTTGGCCCATGTTTATTTTTTAACGTAATTTTGTTTTTACTCTTATTTGGAGGAACTAATGAAAAATAGTTATTTTGAAATTAAATTTTATTCTCTAGGCCAGAAACATTTGGGATTTTTGTTTATGAAAGTTAAACCAATGTTGCAATTACACACAAACACTAAGGACCCAAAAAATACATGAAAGTAAATGAATAAATAAATGTGAATGGTAGTGATATCCATTTCAGCATCTTTTGAAAAATGTTTTATGATAAGCGTCTATGTATTAAAAAAGTCTATAGAAACTCTAAATAAACTTTTCTTTTTGGCACCACCAAGGATGATTTTATATATTATTTTAGAATGTCCATTAGTTTGTATTAAAATCATTAAGATCAGTAGAGAAATACATTATTAACATAATATTAACATTTATATATGTGATTTATAAATATTTAGGTAATCAGTTGGCACACAAAAATAGAAGAACTCCGTCTTCAAGAGCTTAAACTCAATCGAGAATTAGTCAAGGATAAAGAAGAAATAAAATATTTGAATAATATAATTTCTGAATATGAGCATACAATCAGTAGTCTGGAGGAAGAAATTGTGCAGCAGAATAAGGTTTCATTTTATATTTATTTTGGTGTTTTGTTGCTAAGATTTTTAATATAATGACATTGCATTGATGACTACGTTATTTTCATAATCAAGTATAGCTTCTATTATTATTCTTATAAAATATCCTCTTTCTTATTTTTTAAGCTATACGAAAAATACATTATTCATTTATTTAGTTTCATTAGTAGTCTTAAAAGTAAGAATTCATAAACAAGTTTATTTGGTAAGTTAATTTTTATTTCACTATTGGTTATTTGAATTCACCTTTACAAGTTTCTACTGGCAGTCACTGATGGAATAGGAGAAGGCAGCTTGGTATAGAATAAAGCACCAAAGCTTTGGAGGCAGATGAAATTCACTAAGCAGATGCTGACTTGCCTTAGAAATTTTGTTGTTCCTTCTGCTTAAATTGTTCTTACCTAAGATACCAGTATTATTTGTGCTTTCACTGCCTTCTGATCTTACCTCTCATGTCTTACCTTCATCAATTAGGCCTTCACTAGTTACCCAACATACAATAGTGAATTTTGTCATCAAGTTTCCTTAAATAGGGATTACCTAGTTTCATTTTACTCCATAGCACTCATCGCCCTCTGACATATGACATGCTTATTTGTTTACTATCTCCCCCTCAGTAGTATACAAATCCTGTGGTGAAGGGGACTTGGTTTTGTTTACTGCTGTGTTCTCATTGTCTCGAATAGTACTTGCCACATAGTATATGTCATTAAACATGTTTTGGATGAATGAATGGATGGGTACATGGATGGGTTGAAATCCTGACTCCACGCCTGCCTGTCTTTGTGATCTTTGGCAAATTACTTAATCTCTGAATTTTCTTCCTTTTTCCTTAATATGAAAATAATAGCAGTGACCTCAAATGGTTATTGTGAGGATTAAAGGAGAAAAATGTATGTAAAAATTCTTCTAATAGGCCTGTGAGTGTCTCTGTGTGTGTATGACCCAACTGTCCTTTTTTTAGTTTCATGAAGAAAGACAGATGGCTTGGGATCAGAGAGAAGTTGAACTGGAACGTCAACTAGATGTTTTTGACCGTCAGCAAAATGAAATACTAAGTGAAGCACAAAAGGTATAAATGATTACTCCTGTTTGCTACTCTATAGCAGGACCTATAGTGTTAACCAATAGAAGTATTTTCTAAGGTTGGATGGAATTTTATTTTATTTATTTTTTCTTTTTTTTTTAATTGGAGGATAATTGCTTTACAGTATTGCATTAGTTTCTGGTATACAATATTGTGAATCAGCTGTATGTATACATATGTCCCCTCCCTCTCAAGCCTCCCTCCCAGTCGCCGCATCCCACCCTCTAGGTTGTCACAGAGTACTGAGTTGAGCTCCCGTGTCATACACTGGTTTACCAGTATCTCTCGATTTTACATGTGATAGTGTATATACCCTTTCAATTCGTCCCACCCTCTCCTTCCCCTGCTGTGTCCACTGGTTCATTCTCTACATCTGTGTCTCTATTCCTGACCTGCAAATAGGTTCATGGGTACCATTTTTCTAGATTCCATGTATATGTGTTAATACACAATATTTGTTTTTCTCTTTTTGACTTACTTCACTCTGTATGACAGACGTAGGGTCATCCACATCATTACAAATGACCCAGTTTTGTTCCTTTTTTATGGCTGAGTTGGAATTTTAATTGATGATATCTTTTTATGTGTCAGCTATAAGTGGAGTTTAACCATGTCTTGTCATATAGTTGTAAAAATTGATATTGTTATTTCCAATGTTGCAACTGCTTTAAAAAAAAAAATTCTATTTCTCAATAGTTTGAAGAGGCTACAGGATCAGTGCCAGACCCTAGTTTGCCCATTCCGAATCAACTTGAGATTGCTCTAAGAAAAATTAAGGAAAATATCAGAATAATCATAGAAACCCAAGCAACTTGCAGATCACTGGAAGAGGTAATTAGAAGAATTTGCATATTTTTTTGTTGTTCAGCAGGCAAGTCTGAATCTTTGTGACCCCATGGACTGTAGCATGCCAGGCTTCCTGACCCCTCACCATCTCCTAGAGTTTGCTCAAGTTCATGTCCATTTCATTGGTGATGCCATCCAACCATCTCATCCTCTCTTGCCCTCTTCCTCTTATATTTTGATAAGTGTATTATTGGATATACTTCTGGAATTTTGTAAGTAATATTTTTAAATGAGGGTGAAGCATAAAATGATGAATTTGTTGCTTATTCCGCTCTCTACTTTTCTTTAGTCTGTCTTTTGCCGATAAAGAACAGTAGATATGGCTAATTTGAAATCACTCTTCTTTTAGTCATTACTTGTCACTTTTGGGCACACTCATCAGTTGCTAGCACAAAAGAACATTTGACTGCAGCTTTGTGAGCAATGTGTTTCCTTACCCTCAATGATCAAGAATTGTTTTCATCCTTGTTGATTTTTATATTTTATTTTGAAGCGTATGTTCTAAACTCTGGATCAATTTTCAGTTTATTCCTCTTTGTGGATGGTTAAAAGGCTTGAAGGTAAACTAGGAATTGTTTCTTAGTTTAATCTAGGTCTTAAATTTGGTTAATAGATGGTCAGATCTCTCTTCTTTATTAAATTATACAGAAAATAGTATAAACTGAATATATTTAGATGTCAACTAAAATGAAAATCTTATTAATGTAAATACATTTAAAACAATTGTTTAAATTGTGCATTTTTAAATCAAAGAAACTTAAATTGTCTTCTATATTGTAAATTTCTCATTTATGTGTATTGCCACTGAGTTATTTGATTTTTGAGTATTTGCTTAATTCTGTTGAGAATAAATACTATTTTCTGTTTTGTTTTGAGAAGCTGCACATTTTATAATGGAAATCCATTGGCTCAGACCACCAAAATTCCAACTTTTGTACTTTGTTGACTTCTATGGGTTTCTCTTCTGGTGCTCTAATGAGTCAATGAATCAAAATAAAGGATTTATTACATTTTCTTTATAGATCTATCACCACCACACATCCCTATTTCTAAAACTATAAGATCTAAATAAAGTATTGTAACTAAATTTCATCTTCATCGTAACAATGAAGTTGCTAACCTATATAATAATCTTATAAATAAAATATGCATGTAGATAACTGCTGTCACATAGAAATGCAGTTTAACCTTATTAAGACTCTTGAGAATCCCTTGGACTGCAAGAAGATCCAACCAGTCCACCCTAAAGGATATCAGTCCTGAATGTTCATTGGAAGGACTGATGTTGAAGCTGAAACTCCAATACTTTGGCCACCTGATGCGAAGAGTTGACTCATTGGAAAAGACCCTGATGCTGGGAGGGGATGGGGGCAGGAGGAGAAGGGGACGACAGATGGCTGGATGGCATCACCGACTTGACGGACACGAGTTTGAGTAAACTCCGTGTGTTGGTGACGGAAAGGGAGGCCTGGTGTGCTGCATTCCATGGGGTCTCAAAGAGTCGGACACAACTGAGCACCTGAACTGAACTGAAAGTAGCATTTGGCTATAGTGGGCTTCCCTTGTAGCTCAGTTGGTAAAGAATCTGCCTGCAATGCAGGAGACCTGGGTTCGATTCCTGCATTGGGAAGATCCCCTGGAGAAGGAAATGGCGACCCACTCCAGTATTCTTGCCCAGAGAATCTCATGGACAGAGGAGCCTGGCAGGCTACAGTCCATGGGGTAGCAAGAATTGGACACAACTTAGTGACTAAACCACCACCACCAGTCTGACTAAAACTCAGATGAAGCATTTAAAAAAAAAATTACATTTTTTTAATGATTTATCATTACAGAAACTAAGAGAAAAAGAATCTGCTTTACGGTTAGCAGAGGAGAATGTTCTGTCAAGAGACAAAGTAATCAATGAACTGAGGCTTCGATTGCCTGCCACTGCAGAACAAGAAAAGCTTATAGCTGAGTTCTGCAGAAAAGAGGTGGAACCAAAATCTCATCACACATTGAAACTTGCTCATCAGACCATTGCAAACATGCAAGCAAGGTTAAATCAAAAGGAAGAAGTGTTGAAGAAGTATCAGCATCTGCTAGAAAAAGCCAGAGAGGTATTTTACTATGTTATGCTGTCTTATTTCTTAGGGTGTTTTTTAGACAAATGAAGTGGTGTTTCATTTCTTGTTTTCAAATGATTCTATTCAGGTATTGTTACTTTGACGTGATTGGATTACAGATCTGTCAGTAAAACTGGCAGTTTGTGTTATTGACTGAGTAAACCAGTAATGGCGTTCCTGGTGAAACTGTGATTTCAAGTTAATAGGTAAAGATTGAGGCAGTAATTTAGAAAGAAATCCATCACACTGGTATCAGTGGAAATCAAATTTACTGGAACTTTAAGGGGTAAAATCTAAAATTTAAAAATTTGCTAGGACAAGTTAAAAGATAATGAATATATATTATTCTAATATTAAGAATAAATTATACTCTAAGGCTAGGCTTGTCAAGTTGAACATGTGCTAGGGAAATGTATGCACGTTGTTGTTCCTTCCCTCTCATACCGATTTTAGTATATTAAAGATAAAGTATTTAAGACTTTTAGAATGTAAATTTCTATGAATCACAATGTAAGCTATGGTTTTAATTTGTTATAAAACAGGAGCAAAGAGAAATTGTTAAGAAACATGAAGAAGAACTTCATATTCTTCATCGTAAATTAGAACTTCAGGCTGATAGTTCACTCAGTAAATTCAAAGAAACAGCTTGGGTAAGATTATAGTTTGGGTAAGAGTCTAGAAACTTTGTTCTATTCTTTATTGATTTTTCAGACCATACAGTTGAAAATTTAGTTCTGTTTTTGGGGAGAGGGAATTGGAAGCCATCCTACTTTTTCTTTTTTTTTGCCAGAATAATCTGAGAACACAGCTCTGATCATTTTTTCCCTAGAGCTACATTTGTTATAGCTTACTGCTGCCTAGAAAATCATGTTTCTATTTCTTCCTCTGACCTCTGTCTTTCTTTTCAAATCTGCACATTATTAGTTAGTTTACCTGTATCTAACTGCTTTCTGTGTTCTAAATTCAGTTTATTCTTGCCTCTTGATCATTGTATTCTGTATGTGCAAAATGACTTGTCTTTCTTCTCCTAACATACAAACCTTAGCTTCCTCAAACTTTAACTCATTAATTCAATCAACATTTATTTATTGATCCTTCCCTACATGTAGGTACTTTGCCAGATGCTGGGAATACAAAGAATAAGATCTCTATTTCCTGTCTTCTCTAAGCCTTCATTGCCTTCATTGCCTTTTAGATTTGATATTGTTTTGATCATTTAAGGAACCAAGTTAAAATTATGAGATAAGTATGGCATTGCATTGTACCTGCTCATGGCTAATATAATGATATTTCATAGGATTTGATAAAACAGTCTCCCACTCCAGTTCCTACCAACAAGCATTTTATTCGTTTGGCTGAGATGGAACAGACAGTAGCAGAACAAGATGACTCTCTCTCCTCACTTGTGATCAAACTAAAACAAGTATCTCAAGATTTAGAGAGACAAAAAGAAATCACTGAATTAAAAATCAAAGAGTTTGAGAATGTGAAATTACGGTAAGTCTTAGAAATATGTTGTAAATATAGGAAAATGGGAATAATGATATAATAAATATAAGTGTAAGCATTTGTTATATCATGCACTGGTCTAAAAATATTGACTATATTATCACATTTTATCCTCAGTGCTACTGATGATATGGGAAAGTCATTCCATTTTGCAGATAGGAAGCTAAGCTACAGAAAGCCTCAGTAACATGCCTAGGTGAAGATGGGAAAGCCATGATTTGAATCTAGTCAGTCTGACTGAAAAGATTCTTGTGTAGAATCTCATTTTTAACCTTTGAAATTTCCTTTTTATTATCCGTAAAGGAAAATGACAATACTCACTCTGGCTCTTTCAAGGTGGTTATATGAAGGCCAAATGATGCTATATATGGAAGTAGTTTGAAAATTATAAAGTGACATAAGTACAAAACTTTTATTTATATACCTGTAACAGTTTGTGGCATACATTTAAGGCTCAAATATTTGTTGAGTGAAATATTAATCTTTTTTATTAACTACATCAACAGTAGAGGGCTCACAGCATTCTCTATATTAGAAATTCTAAACATTGTCCAGTCATTTATCAGAATATGTATTTTAAAACTAAAATAGGTATAGGAGTTCCCTGGTGATCGAGTGGTTAAGAATCCAGCTGCCAGTGCAGGGGACCAGGATTCAATCCCTGGTTCGGGAATATTGCACATGCAGCAAGGCCACAATGCGCATGCACCACAACTGCTGAGCCCGTGCACTGGAGCCTGCTAGCCTCAGCTGTTGAGCCCAAGTGCTGCAACTACTGATCCCTGCGTGCTCTTGAGCCTGTGTTCCACCGCACCTCGATGAGATGCCCACACGGCAGTTAGAGAGCAGCCCGCCTACTCTCCGAAAGCCTGTGTGCAGCAAGGACCCAGCACAGCCAGAAATAAAGAAAGGAAAATAAGACAGGTGTATGTTTAGGTGTTTTGTAATCACTGTAGAACTATCTCTGGTACTCAGTTTCTTATCTGAAAATCAAAATGAGAAAGTAAACTACTTGACTTACAATTCTATTCCATCTCTGAGGTCCTTATTAGAACCTTTGATTTTTTATTCATTTATCCAAGATGCTTCTGACAAAGTTAACACTATTTTTGCTTTATTAAGAAGCTGCCACTTTAAATAAACTATTCTCTAAGAGAAAAGAGAATTAAAGTAGCATGTGGTATATTTTCAATTTGTATTTCCTCTTTCTGTTAAACTTTATACATGAGGTGCTATTTTTGATATATAAAGGTTCTGTCATATTTTAGAGCATAACAGTTCTTTCATTTCTGAATCTGATTCTTGGATGTTGAAAATAATCAACTTTTGATATTACCTTGTATATTTAATATTTCACCACCTGAAACAGTTGAAGTTGTTGTTTTGTACCTTTGTCATTTTAGCCTAAAGTTAATACTTTTATTCTCTGTGTGCACAATGGTATGCATGCATATTTTAATGCTTCTTAGGAAATTATAGTTCTGTGTGATTTCTTTAGTGAAACCTTATATTTTTACAGTTTGATGATTATTTAAAGTGACTTAAGTTTTTGCTGTAAGAAAGAAGTCTCAGATTGTTTAATACTGTACCTGTTGATAGTTTAACATACCTTTCTCTCATTGAAAAAGTTTAATAATTTGAGTCTCCATATTGATGGCCTTATTAATGTAGTATCTATAATAAATACAGTGAACTGGATGTAATGATGTAATTCCATTCATAAGACTAATGTTGAATGAGCAGTAGGATTAATTGAATTAACTAAGTTTTTGTACATGCATGCGTGCATAATCACTTCAGTTGTAAAAAGTCTTTAGTTACTACTATAGTGTCTACTTCCATATAGTATATAGCTACAGAGTTTTAGATACAATGCTAGTGACTTTAAAACCATATACAAATTAAGAGTACACATGGATGGTTTCTGTGAAAGTTTATCTTTTGTCTTTGTAAATGTCACTATAGGGCAGTGGTTCTCAAGCAGAAGTGATTTTGCTCTCCTCTCCCCTCAGGGACATTTGATGTAGACATTTTTGATGAATGACTGGAAGGTACTACTGGCATCTCATGAGTAGAAGCAAGGAATACTGCTAAATGTTTTAAAATGCATAGACAGTAACCCCCACCCCCAATGAAGAATTATCCAGCAAAAATGTCAATAGTGCCATGGTTGAGAAACCCTTATATAAAGGAAGCAGTTGCATCTTGCAGGAACCATAATATTTAAAGTGTTATTTTGTTCATTCTCTATTATTATTTCATCTAGAGCCACAAATTACTGATGCAGTTGTTTCAAAAACTAGGCAGAAACTGAAAGAAAGTCTATTTTATGTTAAGTTAAATAGTAGTTAAATGGAGTAACAAATTGTTCATCTTTCAGGATTTGGATCAAGACTTAGATTTTTAAGGATACTGAGGACCAAACATTTGTTCTTTAAAGTTTGTATCAATCAAACTGTTAATTGCAGCAACCACTCTACTAAATACATATGTTTGCTGTATATTAGGCTCCAAGAAAATCATGCAGATGAAGTGAAAAAAATAAAAACAGAAGTAGAGAATTTGAGGTGTCTTCTGGTGCAATCACAAAAGGAGTCACAAAGTTTAAAATCTGAACTTCAGACTCAAAAAGAAGCAAATTCAAGAGCTCCAACAACTACAATGAGAAATCTAGTAGAAAGGCTAAAGAGCCAATTAGCCTTGAAGGAGAAACAACAAAAAGTAAGTAACAATAGAAAGTTACCAAGATTTCAGAAAAACTTGTGGTAGATGCTTTTAGTGAAGATTTGTAAAAGATGATAGCATGCATTTCTGTCTTGTAATAAAAAGTATAAGCATTATCTTAAGCTTTAAGCAAGGTTGGGTCTTTCAAGACAATTCTTTTAGAAAGCCCTATAAATTGGTGGTGTTTTTAAGTTCAAATATAGTCCAACTTGGGCTTTCCTGGTGGCTCAGACAGTAAAGAATCTGTCTTCAGTGCGGGAGACCTGGGTTCGATCCCTGGATTGGGAAGATCCCTGAAGAAGGAAATGGCTACTCACTCCGTGGAGAATTCCATGGGCAGAGGAGCCTGGTGGCTGCAGCCCATAGGGTCACAAAGAGTCGGACAGGACTGAGTGACTAACACATCTACACACCGTCTAACTTATCTTTCTGTGTTATCAGTCTGATTTGTGGGCTAGCTATTGGAAATAAAGAGACATCTTCTTGAAAATATTTTCTCTCCTTTTCTGTTAGGATGCTCTGTTATTGAGGCCTTTTTTTTTTTTCTTTTTCTTTTTTTTTTTACTGAGGCCATTTTGAACAATTTAGATAATTGAAAAATTTTAAACAATTCTGGGGATTAAGAGGGAGATAGGATAAGAGGAGGAATGATTAAAGAAGGAGACCTCAGAGATAGTGCTGTAAAAGGAGTTGGTCAGTGGATTAACAGATTGGTTTGTTTTCCATTTATCTCAGATTTTGTATATAATTAACTGTTTTAGAAGGTGCTACTGTTTTTCTGTGCTAGCTCATGAAATTTATTGACAAATTTTAAGTCTTTTCTAATCTTAGCAGCAGCAGCAGCCATCTTGTAACTTTGTCTTCTTAAATCCAATTAATTTCACATGGAAGCATATATTAAGTGAGTAATTTAAATAAATATTTCAGCATAGAATTTTGAGAATAAAACATGCCTGGGTTGTATAATGCAGGTTGTTTGATTTAATGCTAGATTTTCACAATTATCATTATCAAGATTTTGAATTCTCACACTCGAATTGGGAAGAATTGAGTTCACTTACTTTGAAACAGTTGGGTTGTTTGTGAACACTGATTAAACTCATGATATTATAAGAGGATAGTTTAAAGTAATGAATCTTATGTATATTTTATATTACATGTTTCTCATATAAAGTGTCTTTTTTTAAAAATTATGTGTTTTGGAACTTTTAGGCGCTTAGTCGGGCACTGTTGGAACTTCGGGCAGACATGACAGCAGCAGCTGAAGAACGTATTATCTCTGTGACTTCTCAGAAAGAGGCAAATCTCAATGTCCAACAGATTGTGGATCGACAAACTAAAGAGCTAAAGGTGAACATCAACATGTGCATTCATGTAACAGAATTCCCACTAATTCCTGTTGGAAGAAAATTCACTTAGATATATGATAATTTTGGTAATGAATAGGAATTTATTCTAATAAATAATTGGATAGATGTACAAATACTCAACAGTTTTGAACACTAAACATCTTTACATATTCACTGAATATTGTCTTGAAGGTTAGTAAAGGGTAGTCCTTTATAAGATAGTCCTCTTAACAGAATTAAATTTAAGAAACATTTTTCTTAGGCCTTTTTAATTCTGTATTGATGAGTGAGATTAGTTTTTGCTGAGTTCATAATGTGACTTAGTTGGCTTTCCTTTTTTAGCCCCTGAAATAGCTTATGGAAATCATGTAGTCCACATTTAATCTATAGAGTTGCCTAACATTAAAGCCTTTTCTTTTTAAAATTATTTCTTAATTTTTGACAGTGCATTATTTTCTTACCCAGTTATTAGGTTTGTTACTGTATGAAATTTTTTTTCTAAAATGTGTACATTTAATTGTGATTTTTTAATTTCTTCACATAAAGTTTCATACAGTTTGAATAAAATGAAAAATCTAGTTTTTATATGTTTTATTTTGTTTGTAATTTTTATTTACTTTTGGTTAATTTATATATACCCTTTATCACCATTAAACCATGTAAGGACTGGATTTTACTGAGATTTTTAAAATCTCCTATTGGACCTATTGAGATTATTAACATAGTTGACAGTAAAAATCCAGTAAGTCATAAATATGTAAATAGGTATAGCCCTGTGATGATCAGTGCCTTTCTCTTTGTCTGCTGAAATTTTCAAAAATTCTCTTTGTCTGAAATTTCTGCTCTGAATTCCTCAAATACTTCCAGTCATTTTTCTTGAAACCATTTTTGACTTTTCCAAGGGAGTTTGTATTTTGTGTAACTGTTATAATACTACTAATTTCCTCTTAGGGCTATTGGTAATCCCTTTGGGCCTGTAATAACGTATTCAACAAAACATATATTAAGGACCAATATTCCCATCAATGTTGCTATCTAGGACAGCTTGGAATTCCTTTCTAGTGGCTTATGTATACCATCTAGTACTGTGAGCCGCCCTTTTATGTCTTGTCTTTACAAAATACATTACAAACTACTAAAAGACTTTTGTTTTATGCTGTTCTTAGGCTTCACAGTGTTTTTTAAAAAAGCTTTATACAGTGATATTTACTTGTTTTTCTAATAAATTAATTCTGCCAAAATGAAACATTTGCTTAGTTGATGAAATTTTGGCTCTAGGTGTTTGCTGAAGATGAATTGCTTTAGACTGGTTTTTCATGTTTTGTTTTTTCCCTGAAAGTAGACTTAGTTCATTTGAAATGCAGATAGAAGAATTTATGTAGTTTGTGGTGGGTTTTTTTGCATGTGTGTGCTTAAAAATTTAGATTCAAACTTTCTTATTAGTAAGTATTAGTGGTGTACTTTATTATTATTGCTTTTATCATTGACTGAAGAGTTATGATTTATACCTTTCTTTGTCTTGTATTAGTCACAAGTTGAAGATTTAAGTGAAAATATTTTAAAACTTAAAGAAGCTCTTAAAACAAGTAAAAACAGAGAAAACTCACTAACTGATAATTTGAATGACTTAACCAATGAACTGCAAAATAAACAAAAAGCTTATAGTAAAATGCTTAGAGAGAAAGATGGAGTTGATCAAGAGAATAATGAACTAAAGAGGCAAATTAAAAGATTAACCAGTGGATTACAGGTAATCTTACATTTAATTGTGATATGTTTTGATTTACAATATACAGGTAGTAGTTTATTTCCACTTTTTCATTTTATCTATAATATTTGCTAAAGCTAGCTTTCAGATCTCTTTGATTATTGTAGCTGCTAATTCCTTCAGTAACCTCTATTATATTTGTAGTTTTAAAGTAGATATCTTTTTAAAATATAGAAGTAGTTACCATGTTATGCTTATATATCAACAGTGTCATTTAGAAAGCATGGTAAGTTGTAGTCTCAAAGTTTCTACAGTTGGAATATTTATCATGTAAAACTACATCTTGTTTTTTAGGGCAAACCTCTGATGGATAACAAACAAAGTTTAATTGAAGAACTCCAAAAGAAAATTAAAAAGCTAGAAAGTCAACTGGAAAGAAAGGTGGATGAAGCAGAAATGAAACCTATGAAAGAAAAGGTATGTGAAGAGATGTACTGATATGTTTAAGGTAGTGATAGTTAAATATGTAGTTAAAGACTAGATAGTTTGTTGATCTGTGGACCTGATACATATACCATAAGTGGTACTGGATAACATAGAGATATTCAAGACAAATGTCTGTCTTTTAGGAATTTACTAGTCTACTTGAAGAGACACCAGTAACTCTTAGTCAGAAATTACTCTTTTTTCTGACATTACAGTATCCAAAATCATTTTATATGTATTCAGCTGTATTTATCACTTTTCCCAGTGTAATTGTTTATATAGATTAGTTTGTACAGACCTTTAGGAAGGAAATCTGGGCATTTATATCCTTCCTTCTTGACCCAGATGTGTCCTATTTAATCCTTCAGTGGATTGGATTATTATTATTTCAGAGTAAATGGAGGGACTTGGATATATTCAGTGTTTGCAGTAATAATCAATAACCAAACCACTCACAAATTGATTCTGGAGTGTGAAAAATAGCTTGAAATTTTCTTACAAGTTAACTAGTAAACTATTTTGTAGTAAAAAAATAACTGATAGAAATAATCCAAAGAAGGATTCAAATTGGCCAAAATCCATATAATTAAACTTGTTGTATATAATTTGTTATTACTTACAGAGTGCCAGGGAAGAAGTAATTAGGTGGGAAGAAGGTAAAAAATGGCAAACCAAAATAGAGGGAATTCGAAACAAGTTAAAAGAGAAAGAAGGGGAAGTCTATATTCTAACAAAGCAGTTGACTACTTTGAAGGATCTTTTTGCCAAGTGAGTTTAATGTGAAACAATTTAATTATGTACACTTTTTCATTTACCTGAAAGTTATATAGTTTTTGTGTACTTGCTAAAATGAGAAATTCTCTAGCATTATCATTTAGTATCTATATTTCACTTTTTATTTTCTTTAAAATATGTGCTGAATATATTTTAACAATTTCTAAGTGGAATTTCTTTAAGTTAGCTCATAGCAAATAGAGAATGATCTGTTTTTTGCATATATGTCTTATAATAAGGAGGCTGCAATTTAATAAATTGAATAAACCAAACAGTGAATGGTACGTTTTCATGATTCTGTATTAAATCCCTCAGAGCTGATAAAGAGAAACTTACCCTGCAAAGGAAACTGAAAACAACTGGCCTGACTGTTGATCAGGTTATGGCAGCACGAGCATTGGAGTCAGAAAAAGAGTTAGAAGAATTGAAAAAGAGAAATCTTGACTTAGAAAACGACATATCATATATGAGGTAAGCTAATACACTGACATGCAGAAGCATATATTAAACCATACATATACCATAAAAGGTATTGGGTAACACAGGAAGTTCAAGACAAGTCCTTTAGGAATTTACTAGTCTACTTGAAGAGACTGCAGTAACTCTTAGTCAGAAATTACTAAGCATGGCCCTGCACGTCAGAACTAGACCCAGTTTCCCCCATAGTCAGTCTCTCGCATCAGGAAGCTTCCAGCAGCCCCTTATCCTTGTCCCTCAGAGGGCAGACAGAATGAAGACCACAGTCACAGAAAACTAATCACACCAATTACATGGACCACAAACTCGTCTAACTCAGTGAAACTATGAGTCATACCGTGTAGCGCCACCCAAGACAGACAGGTCATGGTGAAGAGCTCTGGCAAAACATGCTCCACTGGAGAAGGGAAGGGCAAACCGTTTCAGTATTCTTGCCTTGAGAGCCCCATGAACAGTGTGAGAAGGCAAAACAATAGGACACTGAAAGATGAACTGCCCAGGTTGGTAGGTGCCCACATGCTACTGGAGAAGAATGGAGAAAAACTCCAGAAAGAATGAAGACAGAGTCAAAGCAAAAGCAACACCCAGCTGTGGATGCGACTGGTGATGGAAGTCTGATGCTGTAAGAAACAATACTGCATAGGAACCTGGAATGTTAGGTCCATGAATCAGGGTAAATTAGAAGTGGTCAAATAGGAGACAAAGGGTGAACATCGACATTTTAGGAATCAGGGAACTAAAATGGACTGGAATGGACAAATTTAACTCAGATGACCAATATATCTACTACGATGGGCAAGAATACCCTAGAAGAAATGGAGTAGCCATCATAGTCAACAAAAGAGTCCAAAATGCAGTACTTGGATGCAACCTCAAAAACAGAATGATCTCTGTTCGTTTCCAAGGCAAACCATTCAATATCATAGTAATCCAAGTGTGTGCCCTAACCAGTAAGGCTGAAGAAGTTGAAGTTGGCCGTTTCTATGAAAACCTACAAGACCTTCTAGAACTAATACCCAAAAAAGATGTCCTTTTCATCATAGGGAACTGGAATGCAAAATTAGGAAGTCAAGAGATACCTGGAGTGACAGGCAAGTTTGGCCTTGGAGTACAAAATGAAGCAGGACAAAGGCTAATAGAGTTTTGCCAAGAGAACGCACTGGTCATAGCAAACATCCTCTTCCAACAGCACTAGAGAAGAATTTACACATGGATATCACCAGATGGTCAATACCAAAATCAGATTGATTATATAATTTGCAGCCAAATATGGAGAAGCTCTATACAGTTAGCAAAAACAAGACTGAGAGCAGACTGTGGCTCAGATCATGAACTCCTTATTGCCAAATTCAGACTTAAATTGAAGAAAGTAGGGAAAACCACTCGACCATTCAGGTATGACCTAAATCAAAT